AAACTTAGTAAATCCTCACAACAACCCCATTAGGCAGGTATTCTTATCCCATTTTATAGGTTAAGTAACTAGCTTAAGTCACACAGTGAGTGGCAGAGCCAGGATTTGATCTCAAGAAGCCTAGCTCCAAAGACTATTCTATTAACCACAAAGCTACACTCTTTCTCTAGGTTCTTAACTCAGTTCTGTCGTGAACGAGCTTGTGAATATGATTGCTAATGTCTCTTCCAGCATGGGTAAAGTTCTCTCATTATAGGTAAGGATCAGATGAGCTAATATTATGATTAGTCTCAGAATCAGCTAAGAACAATGTAAGTGGTTGAAAAGTAGAAACTTCAAACGAAAATGAGTAAAGACTCAGACAACATGATTGGAGGAGAAAGATCTATAAACTCAAAGAGTTAATCAAATGGCCACAGATCAGGGAGAAAAATTCTTAAATATAAACTTAATACTTAGTTTGACTATAATCCCTCCCTAAATCATAAAAGCACTAACTACAATATTAACTTTCCAAATAAAACACAAACTAGTCAAAGATTCATATGACATGAAAATTAGCTTACAAGTCTCAATATTACCTAGGATTTAATTATAGATATAAAGCCTATAGAAATTAAAAGAGAGGGTTACATATACAGGAAAAGAAAATATTTTCAGACTTGTGATAAAATTTCTTAATGAAAAAAATAAAATAAAATACCTTGTGGAGGACCTCCTGGTTATCCAGCCCTCCATGGCAGGAAAGCCAGGGTTGTCATATCTGTAACAGTGCCTTGGAACCAAAGTTGTTCATCTCTGGGATGTCTGGTCAGCTGTAGGTGGACTGTGGTGGTGGAACCATGCCCCTAAGGGCTGAATTAACATTTAGGGGTTTTTGTTGTTGTTGTTGTTGTTTGTTTGTTTTTTAAAAAACAAGGTCTCATTCTGTTGCCCAGGCTGGAGTGCAGTGGTGCAATCAAAGCTCTTGTAACCTCCAACTTCTGGGCTCAAGCAATCCTCCCATTTGGCCTCCCAAAGTTCTGGGATTATAGGCATGAGCCACTGCACTCAGCCTGAAATATTAATAACATTTTGAACCATGATTGTATTGTTCAGCCATAGTTCAAAGACGCATCTATCTGGTGACTCGATGTAGGACTATTTTGAGATGTCCATATGTGGATATCAAAAGTCAAGAAAATGTTCATGATTTAGCATCTGGAGTAGCCACCTCTGTGGAGGCAGGATGGCCCTGACCGAGAGCATGAGCTATAGGTTAAACAGGTGCCCTCAGATTTGTTTGACAAGCCTGAAGAGCCCAAGGCACTGACTGATAGGTGTCCCTAGCACCCCTCGACCCACACCAGTGAGCCGTCAGTTGCCCCTAGTTGATATGCACATCCTTGTGGTTTCTGCAGATTAAATGGAGCTTCTGGGAAGTGCACAAAGAGGGAGTCCAAGGCAAGTTGTCTAAAAAGAGGGAGTGTTTGCCTCCTGGACATTGAATAAATCAATGTGTGAGCATGCTAAGGGGCAAGTTATATTAATAACTTAAAAAGTTAAAAGAGTCAATGAAATAAATGATAGTTTATGGAAGTGGAGGCAAAAGGATGGCAACAGGAATCCTCCTGACTGACCACCTTCAGGGACACACCAAACATGGAAACATGGGTGAACTGCTAGATACAGAAAGAAAGGTGGCTCAATCCAATGCTGAGGGCTAAAATGTTAGCTGTGTAAGCAATTCTTAACAAAGAACTCATCTTTATTGCTACCCACTCCCAAAATAGCCTCATTGTAGAGCTCCCCTGCTTTTGGAGACACTTAAGAACTATAAAAATGGCTGATATTAGTTATACCTCTGGGGTTCTCCACAAAATACAAGAATACTTAAAATATTTAAAATTTTTCAACATTTAAATTTCTATTTAAAATTTATAAATATTTTTAAATTGTAAAATCTAGTTAGGCCAGAGAGGGAGAGCTTGAAAATACAAGTGAATGTTCTAAACAGGCAATGCCCTAGAATGCAAGGACAAGGCAGACAGTTGTGCAAGGTAATCTGTATATGTGAACCATGACTGAGACCTGAGACCAGGGAATCTCCTAATTCTTGAGAAAACTAGGGGTTTTTTGGGGGTTTTTTTTGTTTTTTTTTTTAATTTTTTGAGACAGAGTCTCACTGTTGCCTGGGTTAGAGTGCCCTGGCATCATCATATCTCACTGCAACCTTAAACTCCTGGGCTCAAGTGATCCTCTTGCCTTGGCCTCCCTAGTAGCTGGGACTACCGGCATGTGCCAGCAGAACTAGCTAATTTTTTCTATTTTTTAGTTGACCAGCTAATTTCTTTCTATTTTTAATATAGACAGGGTCTCGCTCTTGGTGAGGCTGGTCTCAAACTCCTGACCTCAATAGCTCCTCCTGTCTCAGGCTCCCAGAGTGCTAGGATTACAGGTGTTGAGCCACCATGCCCTGCCAAACTAGGGTTTTTAAAAAGATAACAATTATAAGTGATAAAGCATTTTTACAGGTGTTATCTTATTTGATCCCCAAAATAATCTTATAAAGCAAGCCCACGTATTATTACTGTTCCCATTTTAGAGATAATGGAATGAGATTTGATAGAATAAAGTGAAATACCCCAAATCACACAGCCACTATGCAACTGTGACTCATTCAAGCCCAGCCGTATGTTCCATCCTTACCCCTACACCAGGCATTGAGGAAACTAATGTATTATAAATATGCTAATTTGATACAATTATTAATTGATTAAGTAATTCAACAAACATATTTTGAATGACTACTAGGAGTATGATCCAGGGCAAATCCCTGCTCTCAAGGAGCTAACAGTCTAATGGGGAAACAGATCTGTAACCAATTAAAATAATATATGAAAATTTCTTTAAGGACATGTATACAATGTGCAATGGAATCACAGAAAGGGATATCTAAGTGTGCACATAAAATTAGACACTAGGCCAGGTGTGGTGGCTCACACCTGTAATTCTAGCACTCTGGGAAGCCGAGGTGGATGGATCATTTGAGCTCAGGAGTTCAAGACCAGTCTGAGCAAGAACGAGACCCTGTCTTTACTAAAAATAGAAAAAATTAGCTGGGCATGGTGGCGCATGCCTGTAGTCCCAGATACTCAGGAGGCTGAGGCAGAAGGATTGCTTGAGCCCAGGAGTTTGAGTTGCTGTGAGCTAGGCTGACACCACAGCACTCTAGCTAGGGCAACAGAGTGAGACTCTGTCTCAAAAAAAGGAAAATTAGACATTATCCTAAAAGAAGTGTGGCAAACCTCCTTTAAAAGGCATCTTTTTTTTTTTTTTTTTTTTTTTTTTTGAGACAGAGTCTCACTCTGTTGCCCAGGCTAGAGTGCTGTGGCGTCAGCCTAGCTCACAGCAACCTCAAACTCCTGGGCTCAAGCAATCCTCCTGCCTCAGCCCCCCGAGTAGCTGGGACTACGGGCATGCAACACGATGCCCGGCTAATTTTTTTTCTATATATTTTTAGTTGGCCAATTGATTTCTTTCTATTTATAGTAGAGATGGGGTCCCGCTCTTGCTCAGGCTGGTTTCGAACTCATGACCTTGAGTGATCCGCCTGCCTTGGCCTCCCAGAGTGCTAGGATTACAGGCGTGAGCCACGGCTCCCGGCCTAAAAGGTATCTTTTAAATGGAGTCAAAGGGTAACTTCTTAATACGGTGTCTTCAGCATTCTCCACTGATTCTAATGCCCAGTACTAGTTATTAAGGAAGATAAAATACTTCTAAATGTGGAGAAAAGCAATCATAACCTGGTAGACATATCCAACCTCTTTTGCACAAGTACTGAGCTAACCAAACAGCCTTCCAAATTGTGTTTAGGAACACTGGGTTTATCCATTCCAGCAAGAGGAAATAAATACTCACTAAAAATAACCTGTTGCTATTTATCCTGCCCAGGTCCTCTTTTGTTGTGAATAAACAGATAGCTGTTCTGGTCTAAAAAGCAGCTGTGGGAGAATTATTATGAGTCAGTTCTCTATACTAGTGCCATCCAATGGAAATTTCTGTGATGATGTGCTATTAAATAGGGTAGCTAGCCACGTGTGTTTATTGAGCATTTGAAATGTGGCTAGGGAAACTGAAGAAGTGATTTATAATGCTATTTAATTTTAATTAATATAAGTAGCCACATGTGGCTAATGGCTACCAATTGGGACAGCACAGCTCTAGACCTTCATTGTTCAAAGTGCGGTCTGTGGACCAGCAGCATCGGCATCACCTTGTAGCTTATCACGAATGCAGATTCCCACACTTCGCCAAGACCTACTGATTCAGAATCTCCATGTTAGTAAAATCCCCCAGTGGTTTATACACACATCAAAACTTTAAAGGGGCATGATTAGTTCTGGATAAGTTGAAAAAAAGAGACTGACTGAAGACCATGCTTGTGGTGACCCCTCCAAACCATAGGTTCCCATTCTTGAAATATTCAGCATAAAGGGCCTTCTTCTTTCTTTGTATCTGTTTTTCTCCTACCCCTTAAACATCGCAGAAGAGGAAAGGGAGAGGAGAGAGCCTGGAACACTGGAACCTAGAGAACATTAGTATAAGATGTGGGGTTGAGGGATGGGGTGGGAAGAGTATGTGTTTTTCAGGATATTTATACAAAATAATATGGCATTTGCTTGATAATTATTGAATATGAATAATGGGCATATCAGAGTTCATTATACTATTTTCTCTACTTTTGTGTATGTTTGTCTACAAACATTTTGAAAATGTTTGAAATTTTTCAAAATTAAAAAATAGATGTGATTTCAAAGGTGATGTGTGTGATAGCCAGCCTCTTAGATGGCCGCCAGTGACCCTATCCTCCTGGTATTTGTGCCTTGTGTAGTCACTTCAGATTGAATCAGGGCTTGTGTATGTGATCAAAGTGGAGGTGACAGGCAGCATAACTTCAAAGAGTTAAGTTACTGTGACTCCTGTCTTGCTCTCTCTTGGATCTCTTGCTCTGAGGAAAGTCAGCTACAATGTTGTGAGGACAATCAAGCCATCTTGTGGAGAGGCACCGAGATTTCCTGCCACCAGCCAGCCATATGAATGATCCATGTAAGTAAACCTCCGTGGAAGTTGATCTTATGGCCCCAGCCAAGCCTTCTAATGACTATAGCTCCATCTGACATATAACTTCAACTGCATGAAAAACCTCCAAACCAGATCTGTCCACCAAGCTGCTCCCGAATCTCTGACCAACAGAAACTGTGAAAGACAATAAATGTACACTGTTGTAGTAAGCCACTAAGTTTTGGGATAATTTGATATGTAGCAGTTGATAACTGATGCGATGTGATTTCAGCATTTCTCATTCCTTGCCCTCCAAAAAGAACACCCTCCCCACCTTTTTTGCTGATGCCTGATATGAACAGGAAAAGAAAGACCTTTTCACATCATGCATAAGGTTAACATGCTAATACCCCTTGAAGAGATAACATATTCACTTAAATTCATGGTAAAACATATGTGACAGATATAAATTCTTTCTTTTTAAAACTCGTAGCAGGCTAATCTATTGAGCATTAATTTCAGTCTTGGTCTTGCTGTTGTAAGAGACTAGAAAGAATAAAAAAGTAATTTCTCCCCGACAGTCCACCATCTCAAGAATAGCTAAAATCTTGAATTATAAGGTTTCCACATTCCCCTTTCCCCATCACCAGCTCCTAACAACATACGCTGGTTAACAGCTTCTTCTTGTTTCAGGGGCCACCCTAAAGAAGAGACACCTCCACCCCCACCAGGGGCCTTCATCTTGAGGATTAGGTAATAGCAAAACTATTCTGGAATTGCTCCATACAGGGAGGGGGGAAAGCTGGTACTGGTTCAGGAAGAAGGCAAGTGGCCAGGCCTAAGGGATGAATGACCTCCCCCCAGGCTGGGAAGGGTTTTTTGGGAACGGAAACCTGTCCCTGGCTTGTATGCAGTCCCTGTGTGTATGTAGTTCGTGGAGTGGGGAGAGCTGCATGGGGTGTCTGGGAAAGGGGGGTCCTGCACCTGCAGGCAGTAAAGACATGCCTACTTCTTCACCGCTGCACAGCTGGCTTGCAGGCTAGGGAGCTGTGCCCTGCAGTAGTGGTACCTCAAGAGTCATGGACTAGTAGCATCAAGAATGGGAAGGAAGAAAACCCTTCCCCAAATTTTGGGACTTTACAGCCCCAGAGAGAAGGGAGGGGGAGAACCTCAAATCGTGACTAATGGATTTCCCGCCAACACTGACAGGTGGGAGCTGAGCCAGATTTCTTTAATTTGTAAAATTAAAAGATATATGACGCTTCTTGCCCCAGAGTCAGTGGCAGCGAATTCACTTCAGTTAGACATACTTTTCCTGACAGTGGGTTTGGGTAGAAAGAAGAGTACTGGGGGCGGGGGCGGGGGGTGGGGGGGATGGTGGCAGAGGAAATAACACAGGAGCCTGAGGGGCCAGTGCCCCGCTTTCCTGAGTTTTCGTCACCAGCCTGGCGTCCTAGGCACATTCTCAGAGAGAATGACCCCACGCGGGGACAGCGGCTGCCGACCCCGCGCGCGTCCGCCCGCCGGGCTCCGACACAAACACACGCACGTGCGCCCCGCCCCCGCCGCGCGCACGCGCCCCGAGGCTCCGGCGGCGGCGGCGGGCGCGCGCGCGGTGCTCGCAGCCCCCACGCCGCTGTCTCCGCCGGGATCTCGGCGCCTCCCGCTCCCCGCACCGCTCCGCGCCAGGCCTGCGGACCCCGAGGCGGCGGCCGTGGTCGGTGGGCTCCGGAGGGCGCAGCAATCGAGGCGGCGGCGCGAGTGAGCAGAGCCGAGCCCGGCAAGTCCCCGGGCGGAGATGTTGCCGGGCGCTGGCCCCTGCGTGAGGCGGGCGCTGTGACAGGCCGGCCGGTGAGGCACCGCCGGGGGAGGCCGCGACGGAGCTCCCGGACCAGCCATGGGCTGAGACACGTCCTCGCCGAGCAGGTGCAGTGACCAGAGGTCCCGGGGGGAGCCCGTCCCTACAGGCCCCGGGGGCCCTCAACCCCATCAGGATGCGTCCTACCCAGCCCGGTGCGCTGTTGACCTTCCCTCAGCTCCTCCCAAAAGGCCCTGTCGACCCCGCCTCCAAATCCGGCCGTGCAATCCCTGTGACCCCCAACAGTTCCTGACATCCTGTGCAAACCCCATTTTACACCCCTGTGACTCCAGCCCCGTGGGCCCTTGTGCCACCTCCTCTTCTACCCCAGTATTTTGAGCCCACCCCCTGCACAGTGCCTGGGAACTACTCAGCATCTTTCTCTTCTAGCGCAACGGGGGTGGAGGTAGGGGTGGGAGGGAAAGTGGGAGAGGTGGTCCTTCCCTGTTGAGTCCTTGGTTACCACAAACCCATGTCTCTCAAGTGACCTTTCTGTACTCCACCAGAACATGCCCGGGTGACTTCCTCCCAGATCTTCCTTGTGGCCTTCCTCGCCCACTCTAGTGACACTATGCAACCCCAGCGTGACCTGCGAGGCCTCTGGCTCCTGCTGCTGTCCTTGTTCCTGCTCCTTTTTGAGGTGGCCAGAGCCGGCCGCCCCGTGGTTACCTGTCCTGCCGCCTGCTTGTGCGCCAGCAACATCCTAAGCTGCTCCAAGCAGCAGCTGCCCAACGTGCCCCATTCCTTGCCCAGTTACACAGCACTGCTGGACCTCAGCCACAACAACCTGAGCCGCCTGCGGGCTGAGTGGACCCCCACCCGCCTGACCCACCTGCACTCCCTGCTGCTGAGCCACAACCACCTGAACTTCATCTCCTCTGAGGCCTTTTCCCCAGTACCCAACCTGCGCTACCTGGACCTCTCCTCCAACCAGCTGCGTACACTGGATGAGTTCCTGTTCAGTGAACTGCAAGCACTGGAGGTGCTGCTGCTCTACAATAACCACATTGTGGCGGTGGACCGCTCCGCCTTTGACGACATGGCCCAACTGCAGAAACTCTACTTGAGCCAGAACCAGATCTCCCGATTCCCTCTGGAACTGGTCAAGGAAGGAACCAGGCTACCCAAACTAACACTCCTGGATCTCTCCTCTAACAAGCTGAATAAGTTGCCACTGCCCGACCTGCAGAAGCTTCCAGCATGGATCAAGAATGGGCTGTACCTACACAACAACCCCCTGCACTGCGACTGTGAGCTCTACCAACTCTTTTCACACTGGCAGTATCGGCAGCTGAGCTCCGTGATGGACTTTCAGGAGGATCTATACTGCATGAACTCCAAGAAGCTGCACAATGTCTTCAACCTGAGTTTCCTCAACTGCAGCGAGTACAAGGAGCGTGCCTGGGAGGCCCACCTGGGTGACAACTTGACCATCAAGTGTGATACCAAGCAGCAGGGGATGACCAAGATGTGGGTGACACCAAGCAATGAACGGGTGCTAGATGAGGTGGCCAATGGCACGGTAACAGTGTCCAAGGATGGCAGTCTTCATTTCCGGCAGGTGCAGGTCGAGGACGGTGGTGTGTATACCTGCTATGCCATGGGGGAGACTTTCAATGAGACACTGTCTGTGGAACTGAAAGTGTACAATTCCACCTTACACGGACACCATGACACCCTCAATACAGCCTATACCACCCTAGTGGGCTGTATCCTCAGTGTGGTCCTGGTCCTCATATACCTATACCTCACCCCTTGCCGCTGCTGGTGCCGGGGTGTAGAGAAGCCTTCCAGCCATCAAGGAGACAGCCTCAGCTCTTCCATGCTTAGTACCACACCCAACCATGATCCTATGGCTGGTGGGGACAAAGATGATGGTTTTGACCGGCGGGTGGCCTTCCTGGAACCTGCTGGACCTGGGCAGGGTCAAAACGGCAAGCTCAAGCCAGGCAACACCTTGCCAGTGCCCGAGGCAACAGGCAAGGGCCAACGGAGGATGTCAGATCCAGAATCAGTCAGCTCGGTCTTCTCTGATACGCCCATTGTGGTGTGAGCAGGATGGGTTGGTGGGGAGATTCTGCCCCAGGAGAGGTAATGCACCCTGAAGGCTATGAGGGGATGGAAAGAGAGGGCTGGCTGGCCAAGGGAGTGGGTTCCTCCTGACCTCAAGGGAATTGGTCACAGGTACAACAGAGGGCAAGACCCCAACCAGGGTGTGGCTGCCATAATTTTCAAATATGGATATATTAATCCTCAGGCAAATACTACACCCTTACCCAATAGCCCGGCAATTCTCAATGTGGTAGAGGAAGAGAAGCATGTCTGAGCTGGATGGGAATGAGGAAGGAGTGAGGGGAAAAGCAGATGTCCTAAACTTTTTTGAGGTCATCACTAGCTCCTTAAGAGAAAACCATTTGGAAAAAAAAAAATCCTGTCTCTGCCCACCCACACCTGTGATATTCTGTGTGTTGGGGGGAACTTCCACAGGAGCCACACTTGGGGAAAGCTGTGGTATCTTCTTTGGTCAGGAAGTCATACTTCACATCTGGGGAAATTGGAAACCTTTGTAAAATGAGTCAGGAAAAGACTGAGACCTCAATCAATAACATGCTTCAAATCTGTTGAGATAAAGCCTTCCTTTTTCCTGATAAGCCCTGGGTGGATGGATCTTTGCAGGAGCCTGGCCTTTTGCCTGTTGGTTAAGGCAGCAATGTGGGATGTGACTTGTCCTAGGACCAGTGGCACAGAGGGGTACAGCATGAACTGATAGATCTGTGTCACAGCAGAAGTGCCAATGCAGAACTTGTAGATGGGGGATGAATTCCAGATAGGCTAATTCCCTAGTTGGTGAAACCCTTGGTTAGCATTTGATTCCCAGCACCTGTGTGTCAGACCACAGTGAGGGCCACTAAAGCCAGAGCTTTTATGGATGCCTACCACAGATGTGGTACATGGGACCACTTCCCACTAGAAGGATGAAGGTAAATCTGCCTCTATTATGTAGCATCCAGCTGGACCTACCTGATTTTCTGTGTATACCATCTCTTCATTCAGTCTCCCTATCAAGCTCAGTTGGGATTCTGAGTTTTCCTTAATACGCTGCTCTGCAAAGGGAGGGGCCAGGAAAGTCTGGCCCCAGCTGGGTTAGACTGGGCTTGGAGGTAGAGGGGCCCTGGTATGTGTCTCTTCTATACTGACAAGGCTTCCTTGCTCAGAGATCTCCTGCTGCAAAGCCAAAGCATGGGATTTTATCATCAGAGCGGTTGGAATTGGGTGGTCTCTGCCCCAGCCTGGCAATTTGGGGTGGGCCTTGGAGTTCTGCCCTCTCCACAAGTTTCCACGTAATCTGCAGCAGAGACAATCAGTAGCATTAAACTTTCGGAAGGAAAGTTCTGCCACCCCATCCCTCTCAGTCAGAGCTCTGTGCAGTTGTGGTTGTCAGAGGAACTTAAAAAAAAATGAGCCCAAAATACATTTCATCCAAGATTGCAGAATACTTTTGGGTATGGAGATGACTGATCCCTTTAACTCTCTTTGATTATACTGCATGCCCTGGGAAATGGTTGCTCTGAGCTTTGGCAGCAGGATGAGCAGGGCAAAGGTAAAAATGTTTTCTGACATTGGTCTTTTTCAGTGTCTCTTCTCCCCCATATTTCTTGTCCATTGGAATTTCTCCAGATCCTCTAATTTTCTGACTTGCTTTTTAGATTCCAAGAGGTATTATTTACCTGCAGGTGAGGGCTGCTTGTTAGGAGGGCCTGACTATTAAACTTCCTGTTAAGATTGGGGAAGGGGACTGGAACTCAACATCTTCCCCTTGTCTGGTCCTGGGATCTCAAGACTGCTGTCCATCCTTTATTAGCAACCTAGTTTTGTTGAGAGAGAGGTGCAGCATTTCCCTCAAGTACTTGCATGCTCATAGGTATGCATGCTTATAGGTATGCATGCACACCAGCACCTTGACTTCCATCAGGACAGTGAATCTGTAGTCCCCACTAATGCTACTCTCAGAATGGTCTCCATCTATGTGCACAACTTCATGCACACAATTTTCTTGCCCTGTAGGAGAGACATTGATCATGCCAGGCTCCTCAAATACACAAACTCTTGTACTTTCATTTCTGACCCCCTGAAGCTTCACCCACATCTCCATGGCACTGAATCACTTCTCTGCAAAGGCTGGGGTTAGGAGAACCATGGGTTGAAGACCTTGGGAGAAGGGGTGGTGAGCTAGCTGGTTCTTCAGGCTCCTCAGAAGCCCTCCTTAGATTAAAGGCTATATATATATGAGAAATTAAGATAGAACTAGGTCAATGAAGGACCCAGAAGGAAAGTGGCAGGGGGCCAACCAGCTGTGAGTTGCTCTTCCTATGTTAGCTCCTCGCAGGAGAGAAAAGTTCTCTGGTTATACTCCAGAGACTTCTGAGGATTTTATTATTGGAGCTATAGGAACCAGTACTCCCTCCTTACACTTAACAGGAAACCTGGGAAAATCTCATTTCCATGCTACAGTTTACCCTCTTGGCACCATCTAGGGCTCTGAAATTCTTTAAAGTGAGCATCGGCCAGGCGTGGTGGCTCACTCCTGTAATCCTAGCACTCTGAGAGGCTGAGGCGGGAGGATTGCTTCAAGGCAGGAGTTTGAAACCAGCTTGAGCAAGAGCAAGACCCAGTCTCTACTAAAAATAGAAGAGAAATTGGCCAACTAAGAAAATATATATAAAACATTAGCCAGGCATGGTGGCACATGCCTGTAGCTCCCAGCTACTCGGGAGGCTGAGGCAGGAGGATTGCTTGAGTCCAGGAGTTTGAGGTTGCTGTGAGGTAGGCTGACGCCACAGCACTCTAGCCTGGGCAACAGAGTGGGACTCTGTCTCAAAATAAAATAAAATAAAATAGAGTGAGTGTCAAATGAAGCAGGCATTCCAGTGGAGCTCTAGAGGACCAGGAGGCCCATTTTCTTCATTAGTCTTACCCAGTTTAGGCAATGAGAGAAGGCTGGCAGCTCTGAGTCTGCCTACTCTATGCACTAGGTTGGCTCCTAGTTTGAGACACCTGGTAGATGTGCCTGGCTGCTCCAACAAGAGATTTAACTGATTTAGCTTCTTCCTGTGGTTTCAGTTGATAGAACCCAAAGGTAGCCTTTTAACTGGGAGATTGAGTACTCAGCGTATGTAAGCTCACTAGATCGCTGTGTAGAAAACTACCAGGTATGGTTATAAGAACAGGCTAAGAGATCACTTCCTCCCCACACCCCACCCTGCACCCATAACCCAGACATGTCTCCCAGGAAGCAGGTGTCCCTGGAGACAGAGTGTGACAGGGCTCTACAATCTATGTAATTATTTGTGATTTTTTTTTTCTTTTGCCTATATTTATGGGGCTCCCAGGAAGGGGCCAGGAGAGAGTATAGCCTAGCTTGGGAAAGCAAAGCCTACTGATTCCAGTTTTCTGTGTTCTTACCTCTGTACTTCCTTGTAGCCCTGCTGGCAAAGCAAGCAGGTCCCCCACCCCCACCCCGTGTCCAGGACCCTGTTTCTCCCATGTGTGTACACCCAGGCTGGCAAACCTTGGAGCCTCTGGGCTCTAAAAACTAGACAATGATCATTAAACCTGGCTTGAGTCTCTGTTCTGGCACAATCTGACTGATTTATTTATCTTTTCAGCCTGTGTGTGGGGTTCACTGTACCTCAGAAGGGCGTGGCCTGTCTAGGGAGAGAATCTTCAAATAAGGACATGGAAATCCACATCTCAGCATTGAGATACATCAGGGGTCAGCATACTTTTTCTGTAACAGGACAGATAGCAAATATTTTGGGCTTTACAGCCCACATAGTCTCTGCTACAACTCAACTGTGCTGCTGTAGCAGGAGTATAGCCACAGACAGTAGGTAAACGAATGACCATGGCTCTGTTCCAATAAGACTTTATTTATGGACATTGATATTTGAATTTCAGATAATGTTAACATGTCTTTTGAGTTTTTTCAACCATTTAAAAGTATAAAAACTCTTATTAGCTCAGAGACTACATAATACTAGGCAGCAGGCTGGTTTGACCAACAGACCATAGCTTGTGGACCCCTGAGATAGTCTCAGAAGAAATGTCACTAAGGCTTTGGAGTTCAGAAATCGCACGACTTGGGCCTAAGGCATGTAGATAATGAAGGCTTCCTGGATCCCTGGGGAGGCGAGTTGCCTCCCTGTGGAGTTCTATTAGAAGTTTGGATCAAGTCTACTAACCATACTATGGGAAAATGCTTGGATTGGGTTTTAAAAAATGGTGGGGAGCAGCTTACGTTCACAGAATTTTTTATTATTATCAGTCTGTTTTCCTGTTGTAAATGGTAGCCATCTTAGATTAAAAGTATTTTCATCTTAGGCTAAAAGGTTAATATTCAATGACAGTTTAATATGTCCTGGGCATTGCATGGAATGGAAAAATGAAATCCTCACTTTTTTGGTACAAACGCAGCCTACCAGAAATTGGACTGGAGTTTACCCTCTGACTATGCTAATTCTTTGGCTATTCTCTTGGTACCTCTCGAAAGGTACCAATTGTCAGGGTAGATGCCAAAGGGGGAGAGGAAATGATATAAGGAAAAAAAAAGAATCAGTATCTGAATAATTACCTAATTTTTTACATTCATAAAATCCTCACCCAAGGGGAGTCCTCCTCTATCTGGAAAGTTGCCTTTTTCACTTCTGGAGGAACAACCAAGGTGATGAAGGATGGAGACACCTGACAGCCAGCCACATCAGACAAATCAACCTTGGCAGTCAATGAAATTTCAGCTGCTGATGCCACAGCCCTCCTGTAGTCTGCATTTATAGTTTCTGATCTGCAAAGCAGTTTTTGCTATGGCTAAAAGTTTGGCCAATAGGATGAAGCTGGTAAAGAGAACAGGTCTGGGGAAGACTACTTGGAGTTCCCGCTTCTATTTTGGCCCATGCCAAGCCCTTAGATTCTGGCTGAGATGTGCAATTTTGTCTACCATGTCTTACAGAATTTTCCCTAGCTCCTCTTAGGCAGCACTTGAGGTGGGGGCTAATATGACAGTTGCCGTTAGATGAGAGTTTGGTGTATTGGCTCGCCTGGCCCCTCTTCCACCTGGTCTCTCAACTCTTTCGCTTTCTGCATTTGCAGTTCATGCACCACTTACCTTATCTCTCAGGAAACCAGTGGTGAAGCTTCACTTTCCCACACGGCAGAAAAGGCTCAGGCCCCTGCAGTAGGACAATGAGCCTGTGCTGGATGCTTCCTCTCCAGGGACTTGAGAGAAGAAGACTAAAGCAGCTGCCAATCAAGCCCCTTTATCAGGCTTATACACTCCCAGATGGAAAATATAAAATGGATACCTAGACCTGCCCTGAAGCCTTCTAGTCTAGTCAGCCTGGTTACTCTCCATGGATAACAAAGGTTGTGGAACCATGGCTTAAGAAAACCAACCTCCAGTGAGCCAAGACATGGGGTCCTGTGGTGGGACTTCTGGGTGCCATTCAGCACTGGCATATATACAGCGAGAGTCTTTGTCCCCAAAAACACAAAGATGTATGTGTGTGCATGTGCACAAACACACACACAGGTTGGGGAGTACTGGAGTTGGATAGTACTTTGTGCTGCTTTTCCCTCACTTCCCACTGCTCCCTCACTTGGTCGTAGTTTGCTTTTGGCATGGACCTAAGCAGAACTGGGCATCCTTAGAAAGCACCATAACTGGGAGTCTGCTTTAAAATGGGGGTACTAGGGGCCACTCATGTATACTCAGTGAGATAGAAAGTTAACTCCTCAGATACTACAGAATAGCCTGAAGTAGTTCCTTAATCTGCTTCCAACAAGGTTAAAAACTCATCTGGGAAATTGACAGTAGCAGGTGGATTAAAAACAGTGATTGTTATTCTCTGACAACACTGGTGACTAGCCAAGCTTTCCGGGTCAGGGCAAGGTCATCTTACTGGAGGTAATTTATATCTGCGTTAAGCCCAGCGTTGGAGACTGGCTACTTCAAACCGCCCTCCAAGGCAGTTCTAGGGCATTATCCTCCTGCCTTTCAGCTATGTCTTCTCTCTGCCGTGCTGGCGAGAACCGCTGAGGCTATGCCCACAATGCCTGACTAGCAATTCATTTCTGGATCCCAGGACAGAAAAAACAATTAAGAGAAAAAGCAAATATTCAAGCCTCTGCCTGCTGTTGTTCCTGCCTCTCTGCAGCCACTCCAGGCAGACTGCTGGCTGCTTTCACACAAATGGAATGGAAAGTATCCTTCCCCCAATTTAAAATTTAAACAGAACTGCTTTCATGGTGTGTGCGCGCGCATGTGTTTTAATTCTGATAAAGCACTTTGAGGAGGAGGGGACTGTGATCCTACTCCAAGAGCCTGAAACAAGGAAAGGGAAAACAAGCTTTGCACCCCTGGAAGCCAGGCTCACAGCTCTGCATCTCCGGTGCCTGAGGCAGGCATTGCTCAGCCTGTGGCTACAGGGGAAACCAGAGGGTCAGGGTGGCAGTGCTGTGTTCATTACTGTTGCTCCTCTCTTCCCGGCTTGCCTGCCCCACTTTCCCTCAGAAGGGCAGAATTAAGGAGGAGAGATTTAAATAGACTTGTGACTTGCAGTCCAGAAACTTCAGATTGGACCTCGGGGGCAATTATACTGACTCCCATATCTGTATTCAGCCCCATGACTTGAAAACACCAGGTAGGCAGCACTTAAGGCAAACTTCAGTAGTCATAGCCTTGGTGGCATTTCTGGCAGAAGTGGGTAAGCAATGACGTTGCATCTAGAAAGAAGAAATGTGTCCGTGTTCTGTTAGGATGACCAGCACAACCTGAGACTCAGGTCCCCTAAGCATCATTATCCATAACCGCTTCTTGCCTCCCTAAGAAGCATAAAGGCCAGAGCCAAGATCAGTGAAAGAGATAAGGACAACAACATGATAATACCACATGTTTACATTTGTTTAATGCTTTGAATTTTCCAATGTCTGTTAACATTCGTTCTCTCATGTAACCCTCACAACATCCCTGTGAGGTAGGTCAAGCAGCAAGTGGTTTGTCCACAACCACACCAGTGTTAGGGACTAAGTAAACCCATATAGCAGGTTTCTCAGCTCCCAGGCCAATGCACCTTTCATTTCATGATACACTGGGTCTTTATGCCAACCAGACACAGGGGCATCAGGGGCACTTAGGCTTACAAGGGGCACCAGAAATGCTGAGGTTGAGGCATCAGAACCAGGGGTGCCCATGGAAGACAAGACAGGTAAACAGAAGAGCAGGAGTACTAGAGGTTCACGGACAACCGCTGTCACTGCCACCACTAGTCTCAGCTAAGCATATACTGTGTTCTCTCCATACCTTGATCTTTGTCAGGTGCAAAGAACTCTCAGTGCGCATTCCCAGAGGAGAGAAGCCTCAAGGCGTGGCTAGGCAGCAAGACTCCTAAACTCCCTCCCCTCCCACAGTGCCTCTCCATTCTGTTACACTCCACAGCCCAGGAATAGGGTGACTGGGAGGGCTGGCTGACTCAGCCTGCAAGTGCTTAGAGATCTGGAGCTGAAAGACTCTACCGCCATTCAGCTAATGATTATTATTAACTCTGAACAGGCCTTGGCACAGCAGCCAGTTGGCTCAGGGAGGATGCCTGGATCTCCCACAGTGAGGTTTTAAAAACAAGACCCAAAGCAGCTATAAACAGGGGACAATGAGAAAGAAGGGACAGGCCGGTGTCAAGGAGCGGAGAAGGGTAGTCTGCCCTGTGAAGGGTGGGGAGAGAGGAGGCACAGGCTGGCAAGTGACAGCAGCCTACCTTTGATGCAGCTGAAAAGCCAAGGTGAGGCTGGAAGACTTCCCTAGACACAGCTCCTGCCATTTGACACCACACCCAGCCATGGCTAAGGGTGGTTACAGGAAAGATCTGGGCTTGGGAAGGGTATTCAAACCCAGAAGAGTAATCTCATTATCATTCAGATTTGGATACAAAACCCATCTATATTTCTAATGTCCTCAAGGTTGAGTCTGAATATAATCAAACTTGGAATATAATCAAATTTCGAATCAAGGCTTAGTGAGCTTGATATGAAAATTTGTGCAAATGACACACAAATTTTTTTTCTGCACTTTTTTTTTAAAACGCAAAACAGGCTGACTACTAGCAGCTTTCCTTGGCCAGGGTACAAGGGCAAAAAACCCCAGCCATTTGCTGCTCCTGCAAGGCTTCTGCCTCCTTGCTGAGAAGCCCAACAAATACCACAGACATTGGGAGATACAGGGAGGTGCGGAATAGTAGGTGTGGGGAGGAGGGAACACACCAGCAGGAGGCACAGGCAGCTGGTAGCCACTGAGATCCCAGCTGGAGGACGAGGGCCCTGGCACTGAGGTCTAATGGTTGTCCAGCTGCTGCCCCAGGATGTGAGGGCAGGTGGTGATGGAGGGAGAAATGGAAAGACAGGAGAAGAGGGAAGTTCCCCCTACAATCCAGCCTGCCAGGAAGGGCCCCCCCTGGTGACTTACTCTCTATACTGCAGTCCGACCTGGCTAAGCAGGAGGAGACCACTTGTGCCCCCTTCTCTACCCTGTGCCCCTGATCCAGGCCTGCTGGTCAGAGAGGCGACAGCTGGGGGCCCTTCCTCCTGCAGAATAAAAATGACTCCCCCTTCCTCCCAGGGCTGGGAATAGACATCAGATGGCACAGCCCACGCAAACTGCCGGCTGTCAGCACGCCTGCCCGCCCATCAGCCCCCGCACCACCTGGGAGGAGGCAACACCTCAGGCAGGCTCCGGCTTTACGCACTGCCTGCTTGCTCTCAGAGGGAGCTGGTGCACTTAACCTGGCCCTCCTACCCAGCTGCAGATAGGGTGAGACATCCAACACTGGCCGCGATGCGAAGAGAGGAGATTGAATCCCTGGATCAAAGTGACCACCCTAGGTGAGACGCTCCTCCACACAGCCCCAGTAACCATTTCTTCCATGTTCACACCACATTGGATAGTTTGAGAGGGGAGAGACAGCAATGAAAGAGACAGGAAAATTCACCCCTCTGCACAACCGGAGCCTCCTTTAGATGCTCATTGTCTAGAGAGCTCCTGGGAGATGCAGTCTCACCCAGGAGGGGCATAGTGAGGTACACTGAGAGGCCACTTCTGCCCTTGCCATCCCCATTCCTGTACTACTGAATCACATTAACCTCCTTACTTCTGAGCTACCCAGAGAGGAGGACCCAAATCTTCAGAAGACCTGGGACATCCAAAATACTGACACATAGAAACACCTCCCCGTACTCCTGGGAGCTGGAGCCCCAGCCCTACACCCCAGGCCTCCCAGAGTTCCCTGTGAGCTGTCTCAGCAGCAGCTTTCCTGGCTCAGCTGTCTTCAGACCTTGCCATGAGCTATGGAGGTCCCATCTCCCCACTGAGCCAGACCACAGCTAACCAGTCTGGCATCCAGCCCTCACCACCAAAGGCAGTCTGGGGAACTACTTTCAGCTGGAACAAGGAGGGGTCTCTGCAGGAAAAAGGCCCACCCCTCATTTGCCAGCTGGCATCAAACTCAGCGCCCTCTTGAGCCAAAAAGCTGGCAGAAGACAACAGCTGAGGAAAGCTTAGATAACAAGGGGAGAAGGGCAACCAGGAAGACTTTGTTTTCCTTGGATAGAAAAGCCCCACCCCACTTCCTTGACCTTTATTAAGAGCTTTGAAATAGCTCCACAAAGCTATGTGCTAAGGCAAGAACCTGAGCCCTAGGAAGGGCAAAGCACGAGATGCCCTGAGAATGGATGTCAGGGGAAGAAGCAGACCTAGGTTCTGCAGCCCTCAAGCCTAGATCCTGAGGTGGGCTAAAGGAAGTCCTTAGCTGGGCTAAGCAGCCCAGCCAAGAGCCATAGGCTTACTGAAGCTAATGCCCTCCTGCTCCTCTAAAACTTTTAAAGTGACTTTAGTGCCTTTACTGTCTTAGAGTCCAGAACACCCTCACCTCTCTCCACAGTGCCTGACCCCTTCTGCCCTGGTCGAGGGACCAAATCAGCATAGAGTTCTGAAGGGCCTGAAGGACAGACCTGTCCTACAGAGGAGTAAAGGGAGAATAAATGTAAGAATTACATTCTGAGTCTGCTAAGTGGTCCACACGGTCCAGAGCTGGGAGGGTGTTCTGTTTCATCAACCTGATAGACACTGAATATTAGAGATGGAAGAGACTTAGGGATCATTTAGAAACATTTCACAGAGAGAAAACTGAGTCTTAAGATATGGAATTCACCTAGGGTCACACAACAGAGCCTAAGAGGACATAACCCATAAACAGGACCTATGGGCTCTCTATATTATATCACACTGCTTTCTCAAAAGTGACCCAAATATCCATGGCTGCCATTCATAATTTATAGGAGCCCAACTCTTCATCAGGCACACAAGCAAGAAATGACCACCAACACATCACCACCACCACCCAATACTCTATATCTCCCATCAAGGAGTGAAGGCTTTAGGATCAAGGTCTCCATCACCTTCCACTTGCACCCAGTACACTTCCCCTTTTTGGTCCACTGAATTATCCCTCAACAATAGCAGCTTGGGTTTCTGCAGCTCCTGGCCCAACAAAGAAGTGCAAAAACCTGACCACTTCTGAAGTGGGTCCCTTGTAGGTCACCAAAGGAACCACTGAAGTCCAAGTCAAGTGTTCCATCTGGATTCAGAGTCGGAGGAATTCACATTTCCATTTTCTTCCTTGGCAAGTAGGAGCTGGAGATCTGGTGCATGATCACCAGGGCTGGATAGAGGGGCAGTCCCAGACACAGGTACCAGGCTGCACCTTTGATCTGGGCCTGGAACCACACTGAGTACATGCTCAGCAGCACTGTCACTGTAGCCATCAGGTAGACTACCAGGCCACAAGTCAGATGGTAGAGCTTGAGGCGAGCCACCTTTGAGACCCTGGCTGCTCGGGGACAGAGAAGGCAGAGCCCACACAGTGCCTGGCCACCAGTGGCCAGCAGTGTCAGGGCCCCTACCCAGCTGTGCCAGGACACCAGATGGGGTAGCTCACTGCGGGTCCTGCTGGAGATGATAAAGCCCAGGCCCAAGGCTGCAGAGAGGATGGCTAGAGTCTGCCCTGCCCAGTGGAGCCGGATCCGAGCCTTTCGGGAACAGAAGAAGAATGGGGAGTGTTCCGGTGAGAAGAGTAGGATGGCCTCAGCCATGCAGAGGCAGAACTGTGAACATAAGAAGAGGGCCAGTAAGCCTCAGGTCTGGCTTGGGGGCCTGAGAAAAAGGAGGTGCTCTCATACATCCCAACCAGGACAAAGGGTAGGGGCTAAAGAACTTCCTCCAAGACCTCTTGGTCAGCATTTCTGGGAACAATTGGGAATCAGCACTTGTGTGCAGGTCCCATCATTCAAGCTGACATTCCCCAACCCTAACCTCTGCAGACAATGACTCCCATTTCATGACCAGTGAAACAGCAAATGTTAAACTTACTCCTGAACTTTGGGAGCAAGGAAGGAGAAACACCCCTTCCACTTCCTCCTTTCAAGCCCCAGGTGAGAAAGAAATATCTTCCATCCCCTCCACCCTTTTCAACTACCTGACTTTTTTGTTTTCACGTAAGGCCCAGCCCTACACGTTTCCAAGTCCCATAAATTGCAGGGAAAGATGGGGTCCTAGCTGTTTCCCCCACCTCTCTGTACCTTAGGAAAGCTGACCCTTTTAGAGGCTGGATATTTCCCTAGGGGTGAAGCTAGATGTATCCAAACAAATCAGTTGCAGACACAAACCCAAACTCACCGCCAAGGCCATGAATACAGGGTGCCAGGAGAAAAGACCTAAGAATCAAAGAGAAGAGGCTGACGGCTGAGCACCATTGTTCCTGCCCCTGTAGCTAGCTGGAGCCCTAAGAATCTGGCCACAGGAGAAAAGTGTACCACCCTCACCCTAACCGGAAATCAGGAACTCAGGGCAAAGTGGAGCAGGCAAGGGGCCTCCCCATAAGCATGCGCCAGTTTGGCCTGGGTTCCCGGTTCGGCACCTCTCAGCTGTCAGCCCGGTCCTAGAATAGACATTGCCTTCCTCCTTCACTTGTATGCTGCATCAGGGCCCCAGCTTCTCCTGTAGTCGGTTCGGTCTGTTCAATCGTCTGCCCTTCCCCCCCACACCCAAAGCCCCACCCTTCCAGGATTCCCCGGGGCCCCGCCCAACCCTTCCACAGGCTTGCCCCTCCACAGCTCCCGAACCCCACTCAAGTCTCCCAGCGCTCCCAAGCGCTGCCCGTCCAGCAGCTCGGCTCCGCCCCCTTGCACCGCCCCGCCCCGCCCCGCCCGCACACTCACTGGTTCCTGGCCGGGACAGCACAGTCAGAAAGATGGTGAAGCCCAAAGCTACCAGGTGCGCCAAGATCCCACTGCCTCTCCGCAGCCAGCGGGTCAGTCTCGGCTCTCTTGCTGGGGCGGGAACCAGACCTACCTCCAGAGGCTGCATGGCCGTGCCGGGCCGGCCCGCACACTCCCGCTGGCAGAGCCCGTCTTCCGGGTTTGCGATTGCAGAGGCGGCGGCGGCTGCAGGAGAGGCTCCTCCCCCGGGACGCCGCCGGCAGTGCGGCGGAGTCGCCCACAGCGCCCTCAGGGGGCCGGGGGTGAAGCGCGTGCGTCCGGGAGAGGCCCGCTCCCAGCAGAGCCCATGGGCAGAAAGGGGCTGGACACCTCCCAGCCCACCTTCATTTGTATCTGTGTGTTTACAGGGCCTAAATCCCAAGCAGCCTGCGGAAATTACATTTGTGGCAACCGATTTTGGTGAAACCCCAAATCACACAGTGGGTACGCTGAACCAAGGGTGTGAAACCAGTGTTTTGAGCAGCTTTCCAGTAGTGCTGGATTCCCCGGCTGCTCACTCTCCTGTCATCTCCTCTTCTGTCTTGTAAGGGAACAAGAGTCCTCCCTGCCTAAAAACAAGGAGAATAAAAGGAGAGGACAAGGCCAAAAAATAGTGCCCTATACCTGGTGAATTCAGGTTTGAGGACCAAAGGAGGGAGATGCTAGTCCCATCTTGTATCTGCACAGCAGTTGTTCCCAGTGAGATAAATGGAAGAACTAGGACACTCCCAGGCCTGCCGCCTCCTCAACAGCTGCTCAGCCCTGAGGAGCCAGGTGAGCCTGAGGGACCGGGGCATCCCACACCACAAGTTCTGCAAGTGATCATGCCTTTTCCCTTCCTGCCTCCAAAAAAGGTGTGGTTCAGCCTAAGGCGGCCTACCTGGGAAAGGCTCTACCTCTCCCTTAAGAACAAACCCACAGGCTGTCCAGTAGAAATCAGGGACATCTGAGGGCAGTTACCTACCCAGCTCAAGCTCCCTACATGGTTGAGAAAATGAGCCTGCTGGTAAGAAGGAGAAAGACGCAGGAACAGTTAAAGAAACTGAGGCAGTAGTAATTCAGAGAGGGATGGAAGCCTAGGATCACTGGAAGACCAGAAAAGGGCCACAAGCCAACTCCCACAGACCCTCAGGGCAAGGGTCCCAGAGCAGAGCCAGAGCAGCGGCTGTCCTCCCCCTCTCAAGTTTCCCTTCCCAATGGGACTCGAATAGTCTCTGGGGTCAAAATTCTGGAAAGCCTTGCTCATTCAGAGCCACACACCTCATCATCCTATCTGGAGAGAAGACTCCCCCACTGATACAAATGCCAGACATTGCCACACTATTTAAAAGGACCAAAAAACAAAAAATTAAGCCTAAGACTTCTGCAGGCAAGCTGTGGAAGCTGGGGCCTGGCTGCCTATCATTTCAGCCTCCCAGGGCAGGGCTGGGCAGTGTAAGGACACTCATCTTTTTACTTTTTTCTTCCTTTTCTATGTTTCTGTTTTTATATTTTCTTAGCAGCAACAGAACAGGGAGACAGTCTTGAGGTATTTTAAAGAATTTTTTTTCTTAAAAAAAATAATATAAAGTTATAAAAAGCGGCAGCAGCCTGGGGCCCGGATCTGGAGGGGAGGAGGTGCTGGCGGCTCCGTTGCAGTGGGCAGGCACTTTCTCATTAATGGGCTTTTGACTGCAGGAAAACAAGAGGCAAGAAACAGGGTCAGGGTGAGGACCTACCAGTTGTCCTACTCAGTGAACTCTGTGGACTATACTGGCTAAAGCTTGACTGATTTCCTTCTGCTAGCCTGGTGAGTAAAACCAAGCAAGTGGGAAGATGAAGGCCAGCCCAACAGGGGCCACCTGGGTAGTGAAGCTGGAGAGCATATACGGTTTAGGCCCGTGCCCAAACCGGGACAGCATCCCTCCATCCCACCTCCAGTAAGTGCCTCCTGGCTGAGATCATATGGCTAGCCCATGGCATGCTACTCCAGGGATCCCACCAGAAGAGGCAAATAAACTCGGCTGCAGGCTTCACTAGAAACCCTAGAGAACTTGCCTGTCACCTGAAAATCTAGAGGTGAGTACAGGTGCAAAGTGGGCATGCATGCACATGTGGACCTCGAGATGCATACCTGCCCTTTAATGCCCTGATTCCCAGAGGAAGAACCAATGAGTAAGACCAACCCACCCACCTTGCTGCTCAGCATGTTAGGCCGCGGCTCAGGAACCCAAACTCCCTTTCCTTCAAGGGACACAGGTAGCTCCAGTACCTGGAGTGAGGGCCACAGCCAATTCAGAAAGAAGAGGCCCTTTGATTAAAGCAAAAGCAGGGGTAGAGAAGTGTGGTATCTCCTTAGTCCCAGGGAGAGGGCTGGGGATGGGGGAAGGTCCACCAGGCAAAAACAGGTTACCTTGTTAGGAGCTGATCTAAAAGGAGATAGTCCAGGAACTCTCTCAACTTCCCCTTTTTCCCCTTCTCTGTGCAAACATCAACTTAGCACCTTCTCTGTGTTGGGTACCCACTGTGTAACCCACCCCCATCCATCTTCAGGGAGCTGGGCTGGTACCTTCAGTGTAGAGCACTTCTCCTCAAAGGCCAGGGCTGGGCCCGGCTTCTTGCGGCGAACAGAGCAGGCCATATCAGCCGGGGCACCGGCCTGACAGTGCTTGGACTTCACTGGTCGGCAGTAAGTGGCCAGGTTTTTCCGCTTCTTGGCTACCTCCTCCTCAGAGAGGCAGTTGGTCGGCAGGGCCTTGGCTGGGTGTCCTGCCACTCCCCGGTTCTCCAGCTGAGAAGTCTTGACCGGTGTGGGGAGCTGATGAGGGGAACCCCGACAGTCCAGGGGCCCTGCCCGCTTCACTCGTGGCCCCACTGTCCCATTAAGCCCCACGCTCAGGGCTGTTTTAGTCTTGGCAGAGAGACCCCGGCAGCCAGAGGGTTTGCCTTTTCCAGTGGGCTCCAGGATGCAGGTCCGTTTGAAAGTGGTGGGGCCAGGGGATAACTTCCGCTTTCGAGAAGGGGCTTCCACCTCTGCCCCGTCCTTGGCTTTGGATGACTTGCTGGCCTTGGAAGGAGGCAGCTTGCTGAAGGACGGGGATGGCGTGTTGGCAGGTAGTGGTGAGGTGATAGCCTGGCTCCCGCCCATGCACTCTGCCTGGCTGCAGGCAGCTGCCACACTGGGGGAGCCTGCAGGGTAGCTGGGGACAAGGCTGTCCTTGGTGGGGGGCGTGGAGGCTGGGCAGGCAGGTCTGTGGGGCGGGCCTGGAAGGCGGGGGCAGCTGCCCATAGAGGATGGGCTCAAGGGAGCAGATAAGGGGGAACTGACAAGATGGGATGGAGGTTCAGCCGCTGGTGGGATCTTCCTGTAGCGAAAAGAGAGCTCCACTGTGACTGTGAAGCAAACAAGAGGCCCTCCCCCAACACACATTAATCTCTCTGCCCCACCTAGAAATGGCCAGCAGAGCGCTAGAGCTGCTGCCATCTGCTGGAAGATGATGGAACTGAGGGTTAAGAAGAAGGTACAGGCATAGAAAGGAATGAACTACTAGTATATACGAACTAATAGGAAAACCCATTAAGAATCTCATTTTAAATCTTGGTTTGGGCATCTGTTAACCCTCATTACCCAAAAGGTACTGAAGTGATGGATAAGCATCTAGATTCATCCTCAGACCACCCATTCGTGCCCTGCCTTAACTTATTTCCTGGCTGCTAAGTTTTCCCACCTCCTCTTCATGCCACTCCCCATTTGGGGTCTTCCTGGAAAACAGCCAAGGCAGACCTACGGAGACGTGTGAAGGATCAGGGCTTCTGAAACCCATGTATGCCTGGGGCCTGGGAAAGGGAGTTCTGGGCCCGAGAGACTCACTTCCACATGTGTGAGCTGAGGTGCCGTTCCAGCATGGAGCTGAGTGCCGAACAGAACCGGTCCAGCCGGCGGCTAAACACGTAGCATCCTGGGCTCACCAGCCGGCTCCCAAAGGTGCAGAACTGGAAGCAGAAGGAAGGTATATAGTTTGCAGGGCCTGAGGTGCAGGAGGGCATCTGTACACAGGATCTGACCTCCTCCCCATAATGTGGGCCAGGAAGGCGGGGCCACCCCGCACCCCTGCCCCCTGCCCCAGGTCCTTACCGCCTGTGGCCGTGGGGGCCGGGTTGCATAATGGCAGTCAGGGGGGAGGTGGAGGTCGTCAGATGTCCCCTCCTCCTCACTCTCCTCACTGGAGGCCTGGGCCCCACCCCGGGGCAGGGGGAAAGGGAACAGGCCTGGGTCCCCATCACCAACACAGGGGCCTTCATCATCCAACTCACTTTCAGAGGAGGCCCGGGACCTGGAAGGGCCAAAGGGGACGTGAGGGCAATGTGACTGGTGTGAGGCCAGGGCAGGGGTGTCCCTGAACCCACCAAGCTCAAAAGGAAGGGCACCAGGGCAGACACCCTGCCAGGCAATCGGAGGAAGAAGACAGAAGAAAGGATAGGAGGAAATGATAGAGCTCACAGAGTAAGAGACAGAGAGACCAGGGACCATAGCTCCCAAAGGATTCTCTTCCCAGCCCCTTCATTTCCCAGACCCTTCCTCCTCAGGGGGAAAATCTGCTCCAGATTCGCTTCCTCCAGAAAATCTTCCGAGTTTAACTGTACCCAGCTCTGGTCAGCCCAGTCAACTCTCTCAACCCCCTTCTTACATCACATATTCCTGTGAGCCTGTCTGTGAGCTGAGCCTGTGTTTCATGTCTGCCCCTTGTGTGACAGGCAGAGATGCATGTGTGTCTCCTTCGGCAAGGCAGGCTCTCCCTGGGGTCCAGTGTAGCCTCTGCACACGAAGGGGCCATTGAATGAATACACAGTAGGACTACCTCACCCAGGACCGTGACCCTTGCAGCTCCCCAATTATAAGTTTGGCCTGTTGGAGGCAGCTAGGAAAATGTTCGTATCCCAGGGATTGGATCTGGCACACTACAGAGAGGCAGGGGTACTGTGGTATGCTTGGTTAGGAGTAGAGGAGTCACCTGCTTCCACACCACTGCCGGGCCCTAGATATCCCCCCACGCTCAGGGCTGAGTATGCACATCTTCCAGGATACTCTCTGAGCCTGTCTCCAGGGGTCCCTGATGGCTTAGGGCCAAGCATCCCCAGGTAAAGTGGGGCTGGATCTTGGACGTACCTGGGCAGTGCACAGTATGGGTAGGTCTGCTTGACACGAGCAGAGAAGGTGCTGCTGGGAGCAGCCACCG